GTACTGGTTGAATTCTAAATAAGCACATCCTTCATTATTTTCGTTCATTCAGACCAAAAGGCAATATTTTTTTTTATCTCTAATAGAAATTAGATTCTTTGTTAGTATAATAATAATATGACTCCATTTAAGTGTTTTTTATTTTGAAAATATAAACCCAACTACGACACATCACATTTTCAGTTCCGCTGTTTTTGCCACTATTTATGTGGTATACCTATGCTTTTAATTAGTTTTAATAATAAGTCTCATTACTTAGCATCACATTTACTATAGTTTTTTATTAGCTAAACATTTCTTCATTTATTTTAACTATGAAAAAATTTTTTTTTTGATATTATAACAACTTACCTCTCCAAACTTGGTCTTTTGGGTTCCCCCAAATAAATTATACCATGTAAACTTGTAGCGATCGAAAATGTCCGTAAATAATTTCCTTCTTGAAATCCTATTGGTTTAATATTTAATTTTTTACCATTTAAGACACCCATTCGTCTTCGTAAAATTATATTTTGAGTTTGAGAATCAATCATTGTAGAATTTATAAAATAAAATATATTTTTCAAATTGAATTATTCACACTAAAAATGTTATTTCACTCCCTCAAGTATAGCTGAACAGTGAAAACATTTATTGCAATTTCTTTATATCAAAAGATAGAATATGTAAAATAAATAACATTCGTTTTACCAATTATTTTGACATTTCCAAGAGGCTCTTTTAAACGTTTAGTTAAATGTAATTTTGAAACATTTTTAAGAAGTCATGAATAATTCATTTTCCTTTTTTTATTATATATTCTGAACTTTTATCACTTTTCGTCAAAAAGTAATATGGTTAATAGGTAATGACTAATAAATAATACTTTAACAACAACAAATTAAAGTTTTTATAGAATATTTCTAAGTGAATAAAAGCATTTTAAAATGTTATTTTTAATTTAGCACAAAAGCTGAAAATTAACTAAATGCTCCAAACAGTACATATTTTTATCCTGTTACGTGGCTTACTTCACCATCGACCGTAGTTAAATGAATATTTTGTGTAAAAACACGAAATGATTTTTTATCTCATCTGTTAAACACATTACAGCAAAGCAATTTATTGAACGAAAATATTTAAAAATAAATTGAATTAATGAAATGCAAAAAAAAAATAAAATAAATAAATATAATTATAAATGTCAAGTTAATTTGTACAATCCATATAAAAAATTATATCGTTTAACAGATAAAAAAAAAAAACAATCATAAAAGTATTTATATTATTTGAAAATTGTATAATATTTGTAAATAATTTTGAATTTTAGCGACCTGTTCCTCGATTCTGTTCTCAGTAATACCCAAAAGGCGTATCACAAATGACAAAGCTATAATAATTTTACTCTCAATGCGTCTTAAGGCCCCCATTGCATGTCAAATAAATTTGTGTAACGTCTGTGTTTGTGCAATTATGTTAACACAAACTTTAGACACACACATTCCAATCACTGTCGGTCTGGCTCATGATTAGGCCTCCATCAAAAAATTAACAATGGACCTCTAAACAACATAATATTGGAAGCGATTCAATAAATACCTACTAAAAAATTGTTTCTTGTTACGTTCCAACTCTCTTACAAATTTTAATTTATTTTTGTTTTTATATTTTTCCAAAACTTGTATTATTGAATTATCATTGTGTCCGTGTATGTGACCAGTGTCGGCCTGGCCAGGGCAGCGAGGCAGCGAACGCTGCCGAGGCCCTCACCTTTT